AACCAAATTTCATCAAAATCGGACAAAAATTACTCAAGTTATCGCGTTCACGGACGTATATATATATAGTCTATATATATATATATATATATATATATATAAAAATTTGAACGAATAGTGTTTTTGGCCTTTAGGGACACCAAAATGAAAAAGTATATTGGTCCCGGGTCTAGGTCTTACCATGCCACCTACGGTAATAGCTACTTCCCTATAGGGAAATTCGCTTAAAAAAAAACTCTTTAAACGTGTAGCTTAAGATATTTTCAAATCATATTATATTTCAGAAGATTAAAGTGTTTTAATTAAAATCCTTACCTGCGATTGGGAAATCGTCGATAGTTCCCCAAAGATGTTGCACAAGTTGGCCCTTTAGACGATTCATTGATCAAAAGCACCAAAGTGCTGAAAACTTTAGTCTTTGAAGCGCTCCACCATTGAACAAAATTTAATATCCTCCACTTAACATTGGGGTTTCAGAAAGTGGAGTATTATCTGTTATTGTAAAGGCCTAAGAAACATTATGTTTTATTAAATGAACTTGAGTTTGCATTCATGCACGAATTACAATAATTATAAATCTCCAAAACTTAGAATTTTAATTTTAAATCATCATACATGCATTATTAATTAAGTACTTCACTAGCGTAACTAAGGATACAAATATATGCATCAAATATATTATTGATGTACGTGTTAGTAATGTTAACTAAAAAAAAATATAATTACTATTAAATTCCTTTGGCTCCATTTCTAGATTTACATTTACGTTCATTATTAGTTACTGATGAAAAAATAAACTTTAAATGAACACATTGAAATAATTTCAATTAAAACACCAGTTGAAGCTGAAAACATTAATTTGTCCCGAAAAGATTCTCCACAGCTGCAAACTCAAAATACTGAATATTCCGTTAAAAGCCACAGTGCATGTTAATGCTCTGACAAGTTTGTGCTTTGACAAACTAAATCGTAGTTTGGAAACTTAAGTTGGTAATAGTAAAGAAAAGTTGTTCGGTATCAGAAAAAAGGTCAAGTCTGGGACACATTTAAGGATTTCACGACTTTTAAACTATCGTTTTTTGACGGGCTTAGTATAAAATATAATATTTAATAGTTTGAAGTGAATATAATATTTACGCTATTTTAATGACCGGCTCGAGGGTGTCCTGCCACTTTTACAAAATTTTACATTATTTAATTTTTAAAAGTCGACTTGAAAGGACTTTGTAAAAAAAAGATGGTTCTAACAGTTAAACTGAACTATTATATTAAATAAGATATATAAAGTAGGCCTACGAAAATAAAGAAAATTATTTTCATATCGTTAAGGCAGAGGTATCATTTTTAATCATAAGCACTTAACTAAGATAATACATTTTATTGGTCATATATCAAGACTCTTATGGATAAAAGTTACGTTACAAAATATTTATCGAAGCCATTTTAATTAGTAATTTTATTGTAAACAAATAATTAATAGTTTTTATGGCTTTGCCTGATAGTTGTCTATTAAAAGCAGCGTATTTGATACAAATCATAAGATTTGTTTAAAGTGCACGTCGTAATATTTACATTTACGTAATATTTACTGTACAAACTTTAAATCTTTCAATTTAGTTAGTTTATTACGATAAAACTATAAATGAGTACCAGGGCAATACTCCTAACTATACATAGAGTATTCTTTAATGCATGATCAATTTATTTTTCATTATTTTCTGTTGTTATCGATTCATTCACGAAACGTTAACTATTCGAAACTTGCATGCTTGTGACAATGGACTTTACTGTAAATTCTACGTTTTATCACTTAGGTTATTATAGGATCCAATAATCTAAGTAATATACGTTATACTCGTACAGTTACATTTTTCTTTATGTTATGTCTTATTCTAAAGCGAGGGAGAGTTTAAACATCGTATAGTAGTTTGAAAAATTATCAAAAAAGGACTTGTAATAGATTAACATCAACCATGGTGAAAATTGCAGTTTATTGGCCTACTGTTTCAAATATTAGACCGATCCAGGCTCTTGACAGTTAGTTAACTGAAACAGTCAAATATCACCCGAACGCGCCGTCAGTTTCTACAACTTGATCGCTGACCGAGGAAAACTAAGTTACTTGGTCGTTCTGTCAGTTTGTCTCAGCAATTATATTAGTTATAACCTCTGGCTATCTATCTCGAACAAATAACCTGGTCTGCTAAAAAAACTATAAAACTGGCATAAAATCAATTCTCATTATGGTTACTATATTTTGTTCACCACAACTTTATATTTCAACACTTTTTTCATTATTGTGAGGACTAAAACTATCATGAACATAAGCTGTCGTTAGTACAGACTAGGATAACTGGTCAATGACACGAAGGATAGATTATAATTAATCTCTAACATTTAGATTTATAAAATTATATTTAAAATTGTAATAACCAATTCTTGCCATTAAAAACGTGTCATGTAGTTGCTTTTTTATAAAGGCATTTAAAGTGTGTCACACTCGAATGATATTCATTATTACCATGTTTGGATTATTTTAATTTAAAGAATGCAATTAAAAATTTAAATATAACTACTTCAAACGTATCCAAACAATTTAACTATTATGGCTATCCAGCGGATTGTTTTACTAAAGGAGCTTTTTTCTGTGAACAGAGAAATATACTCTTAACTGGTTCAAGACATTTAGGTTTAACAAATTAGGTCAAAGCAGTTTTGTGCTCAAAGTTTAAATAGGAAATCATTTAAGTTAATATTTTCTTCTTCACTATTTTATATAAAACTATTTTTTAACGTTTTATATCAAACTTGCCAAGTTATGTAGTAATTTCATGGAAATAAACATTTTCTAGACTACGTAATTTATTGTCTAACACCCATGTTTTGTTGTTGTGCACAGTTATTTGCAATTTGTGCAAGTAACGAATCACTGTACGATATATTTCTCCATTTTATGTATAGTTTTGTAGATGAAATGAGGGATTTCAATAAAAACATATTACATTCACGCATTGCATACGTTGATGATCTCAAAATGATCAAACAAACCAAACTTACAGAAAATTTAACATTGCTCATCAAGTCTTACACCTGTAGTAAATAACCCATTTATCAAAGTAAGGCAAATATGGTGAACATAGCAATTTGTCATAACATAAATTAGCATGACATTATGCTTTGCAGAGATTATAGGCGGCGGGTAGCATATTAATGAGTCTAGTTATCTGGTCCATATGCGGTCACTTTATTTATGTACATATGCTCTAATGGGTGCGATGCTCATCCAACGTCACCCCTTTATAGTGTTGGAAACCCTGTTGGAAAAACAGTAAATGTTTATCTGTGGGTCACTTATTTTAATTTTTGTTTACTTAAACAAAAATCCCAAATATTATTTTGTACGTGTGTTGGTTTGTGTTTGTAATTCATGTTTTCATAATGAAAAACATTTTATTCTTTTGGGGAGACGGTCAGAACCCTGATTGTAAATATTTACTTTTGTTGTATATCATGAATATTAATCGATAGCCAAAGGAAAAGCTGCATTTGGGGCTCACTTGTAATCAACCCAGCAACATTCAGATCTAAAGACAAGCACTACAACTAGTTACTCAGTATACCTTATTAGGGAAATTTTAAATTATTAACTTTAAAACCCAGTAATCAATGTATAAGCTGGTGAAACCAGTAAAAATGTACCAGGAGTACTTATAATATTATATTATTGTATTGTAAAAAATATGAGTACAATGATTTTAAAGTATTTAAATTCAATATTTTTACTAACAAGGTATAAGTAGATAAAAGACCAAAAGTCCAAATGGATCTTTCCTCGGAAAATTATGCATATTATAGCATTATTTATAAAAAAATTATTTAAAAATTTAAAAAAATCCTTCTTGTCATAAAACATTTTAATCCCTAAATATTGTAATGACTGCATTGTAAATGGGTATCAGAAATTATACAACATTTCAGATCCACCTTTATTTCTTCCCTGTGGAAATATCTCAAGAGATAATAGGCATAAAGTAAGCGAGGCGGTTTCTGAATCAAAGAAAAGAATTCCTTGATCTTTGAATCACGGTTCAATTACTATGCTTTGTGACATTTAGTCTTTAATGAACCTTGGGTTTTACAAGATAAGAAGGAATCTCCGTTTTTGGAGCAATTCTTTTTTGTTCGTATTTTAAAGTGGGAAAAACTCATACACGTTTTTTTTATAAACTTAAAATCGTATGTCAATTGTTATAAAACTTTAAAAAATTTGTAAATTAAATGAAACTGATATTTTAGTTGTTAAATAATATTGTAAAAGCTAAAAGAAATCAAATAGCATTTTCAACAATACTTATAATGAAATCAAGCAATGGAATTATACCAAGAAGCATATAGCCACAGTTTATAAAGGTTTTTTTGTAAAAAAAAACATAAAATACTACTTTTATTTTAATTAAGAGTAGTTTTTACATAATATTCGTAGGTTTTAATCATCGTCATTCTATTTTATAACAGCATGTATCACCATAAGCTGCATAATAGGTTGACGACGCAAAAAGAATGCCGTCAGTTAATCTTTAAAATAAAGTTGAATGAAGTAATTGATAGTACTACTAAACGGTAGAGGGCTTTTTCGTTTGGCGATTTTTTTAGCTGGCAATGCAGCCTCATGTATACGATTTGAATTGGAATATCAAACTATTGTATGTTTCACGGTAAGATAGACAGCAATGTTACTTTTACAAATATATTTACCTGAACACGTAAAGATAAAAATGTACACCTTATCAGTGGTTGTTTTAACCTTGATATGAAACGTCTCTGAAATTAGTGAGTAGTCGATAATATACGGAAATGTAAGGAGTATAGAATTTAATAAAATAGCTTGTTATCACAATTTTAATACCCAACAGGAGTTGAAAAAATACACTCCTATCCGATCCATTAAATTGCAGTTCATTAGTTAGAAGTGTTACGAAGTTTTAAATAGAAATACTTACATTTGGATCTTCAGGTGTAACGTCTATTTCATCAGGAGGGATGTCGTCTCCTGAACCTTCGCCGAAACCCTACAAATAAATTTAAACAATAAACAACTAAACCAAACACTAATACAGAAAATAAAACAAAACAAACCCCCTGAAAACACAAAAGGTCTGATAACGCTTGAAAATAACTAAGATAACTTGTAATTGTAAAATGTATTATTAATAAAATAATGACAAATTAATTAAAACATTTAATCAATAATCAATTGAAAAGGACTAATAATGAGCAGCAAAAAAAAATATTCGACACGTCCTCTCACAACATATTTGTTAAATAAGGAATACATATCTTTGTTTAGTAATACGAGTAGTAATACTACATAGGTTATCTGTTCTATATCCAATCCTCATTGTATTGAGTACCTTGTTGGTCTATTACAGGGTAAGAAGATTGGTATGGCATAGCTAATTACTGGAATTCTATGTGGAATTCGCCAATCTACCGCAAATAACTTAAAATATAAAGTCAATGTGAAACAATGCCAGCTTTCTACAAACAACAGAACGAATATTAAGAATTCAATATAATCAAATAGGAATCACGTCAGTGTTCTATGAAAAGCTAGTTATATGAATTCAAATGAACTTAAGCACAGTAAGAAAATAATTATATGTCGTAAATATAAAACTATGTCAGTACAGTACTACTATAACAACCAATAATAAGCGTTCAATGTGTAATTACGTCAGTGCTCTATCAGTAAAGCAACTAATGATTTAAATAGATATAGAACTATGCCAGTGAAATAGAACTATATAGAACTATTAACAGCAAATTAGGAATTAAAAGCGGATCTATGTATGTCTACTATAAACATCTATTAATAGAGATACTATGTGTAACTGCACTAGTGTGTTACATGCAATAGGAACTTAACAACAGGATTTTAACGTGGAACTATGTCAGAGTTTAGCATATAACCGAAATAAATTAACCGAAATATATAGAAATATTCAGTTTTTAGGCGTTGACTGTTAACAAAAGTTAGTTTCGTAATTTTTTACATCAAAAATAATTTTAACCCCCCTAACAGGGTTGGGGTGACTTATTTTTTTCCAATAGCAACCCCTATTGAGTGACCACCTCATTTTTAAGTGTTTGACAAAAGAAATGCAATGGCACAAACCCGAGGTAGATATTTAATCCCTAGCCAAAATGACGGGTATTTTAAAATTCTATGTATGTGAAAAAGCACCCATTTTGGAGTACCCGCCATTTTGGCTAGGGGTGAGATATTCACCTCGGATTCGCATCATTGTGTTTCTTTTGACAAGCACTTCAAACTGAGAGGTCACTAAATAGTGGTTGCTATAAAAAATAAGTCACCCCCTACCCTGTTGGAGGGGTTAGAAAATTCTTTTGGTGTAAAAAATAGCGGAACATTTGTTAAGAATCAATGTTACAAACAGAATATTTCTATCTATTTCCGTTTTTAAAAATACAAATTCATTTCAAGACTTAATTTACACACTGTATAGAACTATGTCAGCAAAACTAATGATTAAATCCAACACGGAACTATGCCAATGTTCCACAAACTTGGTAGATTCAACATGAAACTATGTCGGTGTTCTGTAATAGTGTTGGCCCAGCAAGCCATGGTTAAAGTCAATCACAGAGTAAGCAGCAAGGAGCATGTCGGGGTGGACACAGAGTAATGTGATTAGAGGGATGGCGGGAACCTAACTTTACCCTCCAACTGACAAGCTATGTTGTTAGCCTCAACTGCTCTAGTTGGCCAAAGTCAGGGCATTCGAGGTTGTGATAAGTTTACTGGGTGGTTTCAACTTATAATAAATGGTTGTTTTATTTTTTTACTTAAGGGGGGGGGGATTTCAGTAATTTATTGAGTTGATGTAATAAAATAATTATAGGTTTTTTGCTTTAATTTTGTTAATTTTAAAATAAGAAAAAAACAAAAACAAATAAAGAAACTTTTATTCAGTTTCTAAATAATTATACTGGTGAATACTTAAATTTTTGTAAAAACAGAGTAATAATACAATAATGAAGATATTGAAAATTGTTCGTAAATTTGTAAAAAATAATTATTCTTATTATTTTTATTACTATCATAATTAATGATTACGGGAATATCTATGAAAAAACTATGTACCATAGTTTTCTTTGTTGTGATAATAACTCTAAACGTTTTGTGTTGACTAAGAGGTTAATTTATAAATCCACAAATTGAAATCACGTATTTTAGTGAAAGTTATTAATGGTATAATTGACCATATAATATACATGATGCAAAAAATGTATCTAAATCCACTTGGATTATTGTTTGCTTTGTAACAATACACAAATATAATTGTAATTCACATTTTTCAAAACGTTTTAAAAGTTAATTCCGCAGATTAAGTTTTGGATATTTGCATTCTAATCAGAATTTTAAATTAGCTTCGGAGATGCAAACGAACCCCTTATAAGAATTTAAATCCTGATATCGAAATGAAAAATGTCTCAATCGGTTCAAATTATTTGTTGACAACGAAAATCTTAGGCGACGTAAACATACTATAAAAAACTATACGAAATACTACAACTTTTAAATATTTAACACAATTTAATGAACAGTCAGGCTATGATTTTCTTTTTCTAAATATGGGTTGGTGGTCTAGGGATGAGCCTATGAAAGAAATGTATGAAGAAATGTATTTATACATATTACATAGGAATGTTTGAGGTTTCATGTTTTTATTCCTTTTTAAATCAACATACTAAGGTTCACCAACTGGAAGCTTAAGTAAAAAAAATCAAAATGCTATACAGTAAATAATACATTGTATATATATATAAAATCCATAAATATATATCTTTATTAGGGATGGTGTGATTTCCACACACCATAACCTTTAACTTATGAAAATATACTTTGCTCAGTAAAAGTCACTAAACTGTAAGTAAAAATAAACCACAGGAAACATATTACACTTTTTATTTTAAAGCGAGGTAGACGGAATGACATGGTTAAACACAAATTTGCAAGTCGATTGGTTCCGGGATATTTTCGTCATGACGACAAATTAGCCGAATTGAGGCTTAACAACGGTAAAACATGGTCACAACCGCGTAATAATTTTTAATGTGCATTGTTTAATTCCCCGTTAAGCCCGAACACAACATAAAACTTTATCAGCCGCCTAAACACGGTAATTTGGGTGTTTACAAATTATGTTCACGAATAATTGTGTTTTGGTTTGGTTTTATCAGCGGTTTATCGTCCAATGTTTTCTGTTTTGTGATAGAAATTTAGCGGTCTAAAATTACGCATTTTTAACAGAATATACCGTCATACAGTATCAATACAAACAATATAAATCAAGTTACGGTTACCATTTCCTATTTCATTCATCTAAAAAGATCATAAATTTAAGTTTTTAATATTGTTTTAATTGTCTTGTACAATAAGTCCAGAGTATACAAAAATATATTACAAAATTGCGTATTAATTAAGGCCACAATCAATTAACAACCCCTAAACTCCATTTGGGACAGGTAAAAACTTACGACAGGCCTAACTCCTTCAAATGAAATTTCGATTGGGTTATGCTGGGTAGTTATTTTATTTATTTATTTAAAAAAGTATTATATTCCCAATAAAAAAATGAAGTGAAATTATAGCCTGGACCAACCTACCCTGTCCCCTTGTACTTGCACAGGAATTCTGGTTCTTGCCCTTAAACGGATTTGGTCATAGGAAATTAAACAATTCTACTCCAAAAACCTATCACATTTTGGCACAAGTAAAGTATTAATTATCAGATATGTCTATTTAAAGATGCTATTTTTATGTACAAAGTTTGAATCTATATAAAGGAAAATCACTCTAACACTAAAAAAAATCTTCTGACTAATGCAATACCACACAATGTTTATTTTTACAGTTAGGATAGTATTTATTATACTCTAATCTAAAAAACTACAGTACGGTATAATACTCTATTATAATTTAAATGAAATATTTGTTTTTAAAGACTCGTTAACTAGTTTTTTAAAATAGTTTTTATGGTTCTATCCATTTTATTGTTATTTCTCCTTGCGTTTTGTTTCTCGTCAAATATTCTCGTTTGGAAAATTATTTTTACGTGAATATGTATATTTTTAATGAAATTAATTGTGAGTAATATTGTTTGTTTCACTTTCAAGTGTGCGTTTATGTTTTCCATTTTAAACATTTTTTGGATTAAGTTTACTTTGATTAGATTTGTTTTTTTAACTATTACACTGTTTTATAAACAACGATGATAAACCGTAACTTGGCAAGTCCTGTTTATAGGTGTTTTAAATTTTATCATGTAAAAAAGTGTACGACGATTAATCAAATGCCAAAGGTAAATAACAACACAACCGTCAACTGTTATCTTTTACTGCTAATTCAACAACTCGTTTTATATATTCTTAAACTGATAATTTTATACCACAACTATTGAAAGTAAATAATGCACAAACACAATCAAAGAAGTACGATTTATACTTTTAGCAAATATTGTTTTAAGCCAATAACTTTATATATAAAATAAACAATATTTGCGTGTCTCATTTTAGGTTAAAATTACACTTTGTTTAACAGATTTTCTTATAATTCTAACATCATATAACAGGACATCAGGTATATTTTAAATACGTAAAACCTACGTAAAGACAGCAATTTTAAACTTAAAATTAAGTTATAAAAAGTATGTTATATACATACAAATGAGCTTTTGGATAACTCTACAATCTACGATTAAAGTTGAATAACTATTTGGCGATTAAATACCGAAACAGTTTAAACACAGGTGAGTTTGTAGAATCGTTTTCCAGTTTAACAAAGCTTTGTTCGGACTGAACACCATTAGTTTTGGACAATTAAACTCGATTTACACACCTCTTTCCTATTTCACTTTGGTTACATTGTCCAACGGTTGTTTCAAACTTTACAAATACATGCAATTAAATGCATTAAACGAAAGCAATCAAAGACTCAATGGAAATAGTAGTGTAATTGTCTTCAGGATTACAGCTTTAATAAAAA